AGAGTTTCTGCAGGAGAGCAACGTTATGAATGCCCTATATCTGAGGAAGCATTAGATTTTGCAGCTTGCTAGACATCTTAAAATCCACACAGTAGAGAAACCTTGACTGACAGGTGAATTCTCAGATGTCTATTAAGGGTGAGCTCACGATGCAGCTTCTCATATAATTTAGTTATCAAGTCAGTCAGCCGCAGCGCCGTTCAAAATCACGCTTCGTTCTGCCACTCACAGCACTACTTGTTTGCCTTTTCTAGTTTCATACGTCACCGCTCACGACCACAGCCTTGATGCCTCGGTCCTCTACCCAAACGTTTCGGTTGCTGCAGCATAACTGACTGGCTAAAGTCTTAGCAAATGCACCACAGGGACCAATCCCTTCTGGGCTGAGGAGAGGAAGAGACTAAATTACCAACCAGGTGATTATCGTTATTACCCCTTTCCCCTTTATAACATCAGAATCAGGCCATTTGCTGGCATAGGTGAGGGAATTCTTCTGTCCTTCTGACCTCTCTGAAAATCAGGGATAGAAGAAGGGCACCTGGACCTTGCTTTGCAGTCTAAGGGATGTAGCTGGTGTCAAGCTGAGTACTTACCTGTGCTGGGCTGGTCTTTAGTGACACAAACCTTTCCACCTTCTAAAGAGCTCTTGGTCAGAGGCTCACGAGGCATCTAGGATACAGCCATCTACCCAGTACTTGCCATTTGTCCTCCCTTTCCCTGTGGGTGAGCAGCTCTTCTTCAGGCTTTTCCAAAGCCTCTGAGCTCCTAAGCAAGTATCTGGCTTCCTCAGGCAGAAACTACCACTGCAGAGGAGGTTGACCGTACGATCTTGCTGTTGAAGACAATTTCCTGCTATGGCCAAAACTCCACTAGTCTGTGGCCACTACATAAACCTCTTGGCCAACAAGAAATTACCACAGAGCTCTCTCCTGTGCTGACAGGTCTCTGTTCACATCCACTAGCTACTTAAACTGTTCCTTAATTATTTTTCACACACACACAAGCAGGTAAGCAGTGAGGACTCTCATGACTCTCTAGTTTGTCTTTTCTTAAGAGCAGGCACAAAGGCATGATATGATTTATAGTGCCTGTACTAACAGCAAAAAAACTGAAAATACAAAGTTCCATCCCTCTTCCTCGGACAGAGCACTGCTAGGGGAAGGACGAGCCTCTTATCTTCTGGTGCGAAGCACCTACAAAATTCCTGGTCAAGAAATGATCCACTTCAGGAAACAAGACCCAAAGAAAAGACTTGGTAGTCACAGATTTTGTCCTAAATATCATCCTTAACAGCAGATATTCTTGCTACATAACAAGAGAATGGGAGGTGGAGAAAGGGAGAGGAAAGGAGCGTGTGAGCCGTGGCACTAGGGACGTTTTGCCTGTGCAGTTTGCATATTAACTCCTTGACTCACCCAGAAAGATGGCACATCATCAGGAACATTCATATACACCATTGCTCCTCCAGTGCACTCTTTAGGCTCCCACAAAGATGTTATCTCCATACCTTTTTTCCCAAGATAGAAAGCATCTTCGAGCTACCAGCACATCTTCTGGCCCTTCTCTCCTAGGGTTAGAAAATCAAAGACCTTTTCCTGAAGGGTCCCCTGTCCAACCTCTGCTTCAAATACCCCAAGTACGGCTTTTCAGATCTCTTCTCCAAGAAGCTGAAAGCCTGAGCCCAGTCTAATTTCTCCTGGGGTTCTCATTAGGCTCATTACAGCCTTGCCTAGCTTGCTGCAATTTTCTGCTGATCAACACAGTCTCGATGGACACACCCTTCAAGGAAGCAGCAGTTCCTAATTTTCTTCCCTATGAGATAGCCTCCTCCCTGTGCCATAAGCCTCCTTTTTACAATGCACAGCCAGACCTGCCCTTTGCCCAGGTGTGACCAGGTAGGGCTGACCATGGCCACCTTTCTCTTTCACATTCCCCAGAGCCATCCCCCCATGCCAGGGCCCCTGAAAGGACCAGTTCCTCCAAGACTCAGTGCTGTTACAAAGACAAATCCATTTACACTCTATAAGTCACCAAAATTAGGAAAGTGCCAGTATTTTATAGCAGCTTGGTTTCTCTTCCAATGGTTTGGTATGGAGTGACGTACTCTCGTGAGGGCTTGGGCTGGTGTGTGATGGGCGTTACGCTTTGCTCTTTATTGTGGTTTATTTCACAACTTCTCCTGCCTGACAGATAAGTACCTAAAAGCCTGAAGACCATTACCCCTGCCCTGAAAAAAAAAACCAACCAAGAACCAGTCCATGGTACAGAGAGGGCCTGCGTTTAATTTATTGATCAATAAAAGGAGAGACCAATGCGCAACTGTTGAGGGAGCAGGGAAGAGCTTGGCTGATTGCAGGATTCGCAAGGGAAAAATCAGTGCGAAGGGTACAGCTCCAGCGCTCAGCATGGACCATGGTGTTTGAAGAACAGGGTTCCCTTGCTCTGCCTGAAGAGAAAGAGGGAGACCAAAATTACGGGCATGGATCTCAGTTTTATAGTCTAACTTTACCCAAACAAGCCAATGCGTTCATGATCTCTAAGTTATAAAGTCCTTCATGTTTCACCTCTTTCCTGATTCCCCAGGTTACACGCTTTCTCACGTGAAAGAGATTTGGGACAAACCCCATAATTTTGGACACCTCCTATGGTCACAGTTTAAATGACTCTGGCAGGGAGGGAGTCAGCAATGCTATGAGCCTGCAAACGGGGATCTGGGTTTAATTGCAAGGGAAGGAGAAGACTCACTCGGGCTTAAGATCTTCAGTGCCCGGGGGGTGACAGAGGAGTGAGTGTCAGGAGAGGAAAGCAGAGCAGGGATGGATTTACCAAGGGGCTAACAGGAGCTCTGGGGCTTCCACACCAGCTACTGCCGATGCATGTGTGCTCCAGCTCCTCTGGTTTCATGGCTACACGGTGAGCTCCATACTTACACAACTGCTTTGCAGAACTGACACTTGTTTCCGTAAGTTTTGCCATTGGAGCCACAATGGGGGTTATAGTTGGCGGCGCAGATGGCATTGGTATTCCAACCTCTGCAGTCAATCCGCTAATAATGGAGCAACAACAAGTTTTAAAGCTTTTGTTCCCCATGTTTTCCTACATGAGTTTATTTATGATACGGCAAAGCATAAAAGCGCTTTTCAGGTGCAGGGTCTGTTGTTCTAGCAAATCTGCAAACTCAAAGGCAGAGAAAGTGCTTGTCTGGAGCACCCTGAAGTGGGGAGAAGGTGGTGGTGGGGAAATTCTAAATAAATACTACTATAAATAGTGAAATGACCATGCTGGTGTTTCCAGGCTGGTCCTCCCACTGGCTGCTCTGCTCTGGTTCAGCTGGCTTGCAGAGGCAAGCGTACAGAAAGTGGAAGGTCGCAAGCCACACTGCAGAAAGTACTCCCACCCGAAGAATCACCGCTACCGGTGCTGGTAGTATATGAGCCTCCTGCTCTCCCACAGAAGGGATGAGGCAGCATCTCTTGCTCAGCCCCTTTCCCAGTAAATGAAGATCTCGGCACCCGCTGACTGCTGTGTTCCCAGGTCAGAGCGGGGACTGCACATCTGAGTCATGGATTTGGTTCAATACCCTTTGATCCTGGCATACTTTAATGATTTTCCTCAAATCCTACTTCCAGGCCAAATGCATGAGGACAGTGCAGGTGTTTCTTTTATTTAGTTATGATTCAGTGAATTTGTGTTCTAAAATGTATTGTAACAGCAGTTAAGAGTGTAGATTTCCGCGCTTTACCTGGAAGCATTCTCCCATGCTGCGCACGTTTACGTCCAGTCCATTCCTTTGGGAAGAAAGCGAGTTGAGAATGAGTGAGCACGGCGCAGCTGCTTCACCAGTCAAACTACCTCGTTACGCTCTAAATACCAACACGAGCAGCTACTGATCCAGAAACCCCTCCCGCGACCCAGCCCCTTTGCTTACGCCACAGCATCGCAGAAGCTGCACTTGTTACGGTAGGTAATCCCGTTGGTGCCGCAGACGGGCATGTACTCCAGGGTGCAGGGCCTCACACGACCACCGCTTGATCTCAGATAGCCGGTACAGTTGAGCTGAAACAGTCACACAACAACGTTTTTAATCTCAGCTCCCCTTTACATCAGTCCTGTGTAATGGAGCGTGGTGCAAAAGACATCTCCCCCCTCCCCAGAGCTGCAAGGGGAGAGGAGCATCCAGCCTCAGCGTGGTGGAGTTGGAGAAGCACAAACAGTTGAAATCCTGCACGTGGGTACAGCAATCCTGGAGCATCTGGGTTTTTTCTTGTCCTGAAATGGGCTTCATCGCTGTCATCTTGGAATTTTCACCATGAATGCCACCATGAAGGATCTTTGCCTAAAATGCCTTATGCAGCAGCAACTTTTGCTGCAAAATGTTGATGCCACTTGAAAATGGAGTTTATGCTCACCTTGGTGTTTCTGCAATTACTCTAAGTGTATCAAAATGGAAGTCATTGTATTATGTTAAATTGCACAGCCAGTGTTTCTTTACTATCTCTCTCTCAAATAAAAATAGAGATACTTCACCACCCGGTAGCTCCATGTATTGATAAACAAACTTTATGATGAATGTTCTGATAGAATTGTTTTTTCTGCTACAAAATTACAATTTAGTCAAAATCCAAACTTCCTCTGGGAAGTTCTTAGCTTCAACAAGCCTCTAAGTCTAAAGAGAAGTGTTTTGATAACGCTGAAGCATTATTGAAATCAAAAGTTTCCATTCTTAAGTCTGGTGATATACACAAGATAACATTTTAAAACTCACTGATTTTAACTGTTCAAACAAAATTCAAAAGAAATTCTTGCAAATCTGAAGTTCTTAATTTTCATTCCATTTCTGACAGTTTTAAATTGTGTGGTTTTAATACAGAATTAATCCTAGGTGAGGTTTCTGTCTATCTCTCTGCCATCATTTCACGCACCACTGCTCAGTGCAGCAGGAGACGGAACCGATCCCAGTCCTTACCTTCACACATCTTCCATCGTGCTTCTTGTCGATGACCCGGTTACGGCTAGAGGGAGAGCGAGAGAAGGAAAAGAAGGACTAATCTGCTGATACCATGGAGTCATCTCACTCATTAAGTGTCCCCACTCGTAAAGCCCCAGTAGTTAATCAGATTCAGGAGCTTTGACACGGAAGGCCGCGGGCATTAGGGAAGACTGAAACTTTTGAAAAATCTAGTTCATCCCACGATTAGTCACAACCCCAAAGGCTTATGTCTGCTGCTTGAACTGGCATTGTAGGTAATCGGGAGATCTTATACTCACAAGACTTCTCTGCAGAGGGAGCACTCGTTGGGGTAGGTCACGCTGTCGGTCCCGCAGACGGGTTGGTAGTTGCGGGGACAGAGAGACTGCACTTTTCCAGCCAACCGGTACCTGCTGCAGGAGGCCTGTTAAAGAAGACTTGTAATGTCTCCAGGCGGAGAGAAGGGTGTGCTTGTGTTAATCATGTTTTCACCGCGTTGGGAGGCTATCGTTGGTCATTTTTTTTCTCTATCGTTCTTCCATGGTGAAGAAGAGAGGGGACAAAATATCCTGTGTTTCTTACAGCGTACAAAAGCACCTTTTCGCTTTCAGTACTTTCAGTACTTTTGGCAAGAATTGCGGGCAAAAGTGATCATTCCTTAGGGAATCAAGACAGGGAAGATATTTAGGCAGTTATTCAATAGTTGTATGGATTTTCTGCTGGCACTCTGTGATGTGCTGACTCTCACTCTACATTATTAATCGCCATCTTTTTTGTCATCAACATGGTAAATTCTCTTTCTCTGACAAAGGTATTTCTTATTTTGGGAAAAAGAAGCAGTATAATACTTAGGGGCACTTTTTCTTCTTCCTTTCTCAGTCACTCTCTTTTTTTTCTCCCTCAAGCCTTTCCTGAGTTATAGTGTGAGTATGAATTATTCATCTAGACTTAGAAATCAAGACTAAATGACAAAGAAGATCTACTACTCACCCATTGTTGAGCAATAACAATGTCTACAATAAAAACAGAGATATAAAATATAAAAATTGTACAATGTCCTTGACTAAAATTCCTTTGGAATCATCAATTTCCCAACAAAATAACCAAATGCGCTTTCTTATTACCAAGAAGTTATTATTTTCCCAAATGTTTTATCTAGTCTAAGTAAAGAAGAAGTTATATGCTAAGATTGAAAAAATCAGTTATTTGTGAATGCAGAAATTTTGACTCTCTAAAGAAGAAATGAGACATGAACTTTTCTCCTGTTGCAGCATTATTATCCCCACTAAGTTCATAAGTTTAAATTAGACAAATGCATCTTACCGATCTACAGTATTTATCTGCACAAGGATAAAGGTCATTAAAATAGAGCTCTTGTATTACTAAATCATCACTTCTCCAAAAGGCTGAACTCTCCTTTAAGATGTATATATAAAGGCAAGGGTTCAGGAGGACTCGAGAGCTAGCGTAGACTGTAACAAAAACAACTTACCAGAAAGACAGCTGAGAAGCACAAGCCCAAGAAGGGCAACGCTTCTTGTTGTCTTCATAGCGGAGATGGTTGTGTAGTCTGTTACTTGCAAATCTGTCGCTGTTGAGTTCAGTCGATGGTTCTCAGCCTTCTCTCTCCGCACTGTATATATACATCTCCCTGACCTTGCGAAGGCATCCCATAAAGTAATAATTTGCTCTGTAAACTAAGAAAATTGTATTGATTATTGAGTTGAGCTCTAAAGAATACTTGTTTGCTAGAGAGATGCCCAGAAGAATTAAACAAAAATGTGAGCTACACCCAGCTTCTTAACAAAGGCGCCCTGCTGTACAATGAGAGATTTGTACTTTCCAAACAAGAGCACTGTCTCAATAGTAGATGTTGTGAAATTACGTATGGAAGTTGGTAAAGCAAAAAAAGCGCATTCGTTGCAAGTGTTTGAACTTGTGCGCACCATATTACATAAACTAGCCGGTATTAGGGCTCCAGGAGAGTTGCGTGGTACACCGGAGTGGGAGGACAGCAGCACAGGACACTCTAAGCTTTTACAGAGGTCAAATGTGGGGTTTGGCAAGCATCAGTGTACTTTAAAGATGCTGAGGGCTCAATGAATCTTTCCACACTCCCTGCTGTAATTTCCTGGTACACTGGATTTCTCACCAACAGGAAGGAAACAGTCATCACAACAGGAAAGCATTACCTAAAACTTCAGAAGTTTATAAAGACATTTCTATGTAGGAGCAAGAGCTATTCATGTGTTGGCAATGGGCACGAGTCTGATTAAGAAATTATGAAAATAAGCAGCCTTAAATCCGGACTGGGATAATGCTTCCTCTTAATGGCAAGCGAGTGGTGTTCCGTGCAGGTGACATGGGCTTCTTAATACCAAAGACATTCAGGAAAAATTCGCAGCAGCTGCAAAGAGAAGGTGAGTCCTTAGACTCCCCCCTTCGCCCCTCTATTATATGGCACTAAATTTAGAGCGTCAGCCGAAAGTCTTGTTTTAAGGAAGATAAGTGAAGAATAATGTGCTGGGCTCTGTTAAGTGATTCAACTCTATCGCAAGTATATGGAAAAACAAATAAGGAATATTGCATAAAATAATGCATTTTTGATTTAAAGTAGTCACGGAAGGAATTGAGGGATGAACATGTTTGTGCTTTAGAAGGAGCTTGATTCATACATGTGGCTTAAAGGCAGCCTGAGTTTTAAATAGAAAATCAGAATTGTTTTTCTTACTATCCTGGGAGATGTTGAAGTCTTGGCATGGGCAGATAAATCATAAAAATGTAGCTGGAAGTGTAAGGGAACTGTAGTCACAGAATAGAGCTTGCGGGATTTGGCCTGTTCATATCAATGAAATCATTTTCCTGAAAAATAAATGAGTAATGCTATTTGGATCTCATTCACAAATATCAGAAGTTGATGGGTTCCTTTGAAAGCTGTTTCTGTTGTATTCTTAACATTCTGAGTGACTTGACTTTCAGATTCCTTGAACTGATTGTGAGCATATTTGGAAGGGAAGCAGTAATCACAGAAGCATTAATATTGATTATTCTCCAGGGGCAAGAATGCCGAAACCTGAAAACAAAGCTTCCTCAGACCTTGCACCAGCTGCTGGGGGAGATGGCACTTGCTGGCTCTGCGGTGGTTAGTGAGGCTACGGGAATGTAGTCTGTCTCCTCTCCAGCCCTTCTCCATATCCATCTCCAGATCTGAGGTCCCCGATTACCAGAAACTGTGCCGCTTCTCTGGTTTCCTCTCCTCCCAGGCTGAAATCACGCTGGTCGCTCAGGAGCTGTTGTGAATGGCAGGGTATCTGCTAGGGAGCGGCATCATCTTCGTGTTTGGCCAACACCTGCCCTTTCATTAATTAGATCCGCTGGGCAGATCCCCCTCTGATCCACATGCTGCTTCTGAGGGTCAGGGCAGCCAGCCAGGACTGCTCCAAAAGCAGCTCTTTTCCTCCAGTAATCCCTGCCCCTTCACAGGGCAAGAGGGAAAAAAAGAGAAGCAAGGGAAGAGTCTTGCTACAGGGTCTATGAGGAAGGATGGGAGATAATTGGCAGCAGTCAAGGGCAGGGCAGCGAGAGCTGCTGGGCTAGGCGTGTCGTGGGATTGCTCAAGGAGCTCCATTAACAAGAAACAGTGGGAATGGGACAGAAGTAATTGCGGGGCAGCAGAAGGGTTGAAAACAGGCATTAGGAGCAGTCAAAAACAACTGCCTCCATGCATTTGGAAGAGTGAGCTTTGGGAAATGTCATACACATGTTGCAAATGGGAAGGGCAAAATGAATTCACCTGCCAAAACTCCTCTGTGATATTCAGGAGTCTGATGGTGGTGGGCTCAGTAAAGTGACTTTGGCCACAGAATTATTTCAACCTTTCTACAGATATGAGAACCACAGAAAAGTTTAAATAAAACTCTTCCTGCTATTTCAGGCTCTTGGAGGGCAAACTTTCAAGAAGGTTATGGCCACGTGAGTGGGATAAACACTGGTAGTCATATGATGGATCCTCTTGTATTAAGGTAAATTTCCAATAACTCTGGAAATTCTACCCAGTTTCTAACTCAGCATTATTTCTTCCCATAACAGTGACATTTTCCTGGAAATCTTTTCCTCTGGTCTTGAGATCCCTATCTCAAACAAGTCCATAATCTACCACAACCTAAAAATTCTTCATTTGTTTTCCCCGCTTTAGTTTAAAACTTGTCACAGGCTTCATTTGGCTACAAAGAGCAATGATACTTTTTAACTTTCTTTTGAAAATAAAAAAGGTGGATATGTGCATGCAAGACCACGTGTTGTTATTCCAGCAGCAGTATCGCTGTCCTTGCTCCCGTATCCCGCTGTCACACGCCACACCGTAATCAAGAATAAAGTGGTACTGTGCTGCAGTCTATGCTACCGGAGAGACAAATGCGAAATGCATTTCTTTGCCGTTGACTGGCGACGTGGCACCCTGCAAGAGCTCAGAAAACAGGTTGCTGTTTCCAGGCTCCTGCACATGGGGGCAGAACTGGATCTTCTATGAGAACGTGAATTCCATTTACAGCAAGCAAAGCCCCTGCTCTAAGCCGCACTCATGTAATATTTCTCCTTGCAGTTCAGCTAACTGATTGCTGCCTGCATATCTCCAATCTTTTATGCATAGAAGATATCACAGCCAAGGGTGTCTGGAATAATTTGACTGTCTGGGAGCCACGTACTAACAGCAAAAGCCTGAGGATCTGGCCCCACACATCCCAGTCCCTCCACGAGTCTCAGCTCTGCCTTGCTGCAATAGCTCTGACACAGCCAGCCCCCAAAAACAACGTCTCCAAGTAATTTTCTTTTAAAACATCATTTTATGTTTCTCCGCATCAAGAAAGAACATAGTAACAAACCGTTTATCCTGAATGAAGCCTCAGAGAGAAACTGCATTAACAGAAAGGTCTAGACTGGCCTGAGGTATATTTTGGCCAGCAACAAGTAGAACAATACACTAGAACAGAAGCAGTGATATAAAATAGAGCAAAACAAAATAACGACATGCAATGTGTTAATCAGGTTGTGGGGTAATTGAATGGCATTTCCTAAATTCACAAACATCAGATAATGACATAAAGTGCCGAGGTACTGCTTAAAGAATTGTACCATAAAATACCTCGGCAGGCAGACAATGTTTCCTGCCTTGAATTTCCTGGAGGGAGAGTTAGATTAGTAATGGTGAGAGGATTTTGTGTTGTTGTGGCAGGATTTTATTGAGCAGCAACAAAAAAACCATTTCCAATGAGATGTCCATAAAAGAGGACTGTCTTCCTCTCCATCCCGGGGAGCTGCCCCCCGGGGCAGGGGGTCTGGGGTGCTGCTGGGGTCCTGCTCCACCCTCAGTTACTCCTGAGGAATACCGCGGAACTGCATCAGGGGGAGGATTTGTCTCCATTCATTTCTACTCACAGTTTCCCCTCAAGTACCTGGTGGATTTTCCTGTTTAGCGGACATGGCCCCTGGAAGATGCTCTCTGAGGACCACTGGGATCTTGAGCGCGACTGGGAGCTCTGCTTGTCTCCAAGGCATCATGGCTCCTGGGGGCCATCCTCATCCTCTCTGCTGCTCCACAGGAAAGAAAACAAGTGCTGGAGCTGGTGTTCTCTTACCCCCGACTCCCTCGCGCAGTGGAGGGGGACAAGAAAGGGCATGAAGCCCCTGAGCCGCACACCCCCAGCACCGCCTCCCAGAGCCTCGATTTGTCTTGGTCCTAAGAAATGGCATCTGGCGCTGAAATGCCTTCCTGCACGCAGACCTCCCTCTCACAGGAGGGACATTCCAGCCCCAGGAAGGGAGTTGGCACTAAATGGTTGCAGAGAGTCATGTCTTTTGGAAATAAATTGTCTCCCTTCAGAGAGCTGCTCTCTCCAGTCTCTGGAAAGTGACACATTGTCACTTAAGATCATTAACTATTTGACTGTGAGACTGCTGCCTGTACAGCACGCCACACTGCCAACGCTTCGCTGTTAATGAATAATAAATTAACGCTATGACTCTGAGCCCTTCCTTTCATCAGCCGAGATTTCCAGAGGCCGAAGAATCTCAAAGGATCCTCTACAAGCGACAGGCGATGTAATTACCTACAAGCAGCAGCTAAGTGGTGGGCGAGGTGCAGAAACGGGCTGTGGTAACGATTACTAGCAGTCCTCCAAACATCAGGTCTGTTAGGACTGACTGCCCACTGCTTTTTCTGCAATACCCCGCACCGATGAACGTTGCAAACAAGAAAGTGGGCAGCCAGGTATCTGCCTGCCTAGAGAAAACACCCTGTCCTGTTGCTCTGGGAGGCAGAGCGGATTGCAAAAGGGCTTCTCCCACCTAAAGGTGTGTTTCCAGCCCTGCTTGCAAGGGGAAGAGATGGAGCTGGGAGCGGCCCTTCTTCACCACTTCTCTTGCGGGCATAAGAAATTGGGGCTAACCCTGGAAACAGAAACAGGGATGAGCAGCTCCCGGTGCCAACAAGACCCTCTGTGCCTCCATGACTTTTGCAGAGCAGCCACAAAATACCCCCAACTGCAACAGTCTGGGGACCGCCTCAAATTATGTGTATGTATGTTCAGGCTTGCTCGGGGTCTCTTCATGCCACCCAAGTCCACCACACCGTAATGCAGGCGTGAGGCAGCAGGTATTTGACAGCAGCGGTTAGGGAGGCAGACAGTTCCTCTCATCCAAGCAAAGAGCGTCTGTCCGAGATGCCCCTAGTGGAATAAATCGATTGGAGCATTGCACCAGGCTGCATCTCCAGTCCTGCTTTTCTTTTGGAAAGCTGGATGAAGGCAGATGCCCTCAAGATCTACCCAGTGCCTTTGCGGTTGGGGTTGATTTCTGTGTAGCTCAGAACAATGTATTCCCTCCCTCTCCCTGTAATTTGCCCATTAACACCCGCACCCCAGGGTTGTTGCAGTGATGTGATCATGCAACATCTTAGGTAAAAACAGAATCATAGAATCACAGAATACCAGGTTGGAAGGGACCTCAAGGATCATCTGGTCCAACCTTTCTAGGCAAGAGCACAGTCTAGATGGGATGGCCCAGCACCCTGTCCAGCTGAGTCTTAAAAGTGTCCAGTGTAACAGAGAATGAGACATATTATTAAAGCAAGACATAAATGCTGATGGCTTTTTTTTATTAAGCAGAGGTTTCAAGATTCATCAGGAGCTTTCAAGGTTCAGGACAAGGCTTTAGGGGAGTATCTGTCATGGGGAACTTCGCCAGGGAGGATTTCTTTTTCTGAGCTGAAGCCTGTCGAGAAGTTAACACGGTTTAACGTATCTCAAGCGAAGAGTCCGACCGCTTCTCCTGCGGAGAAAGAAATCAGTACCTCAGAGACAGAACATCTGGGCTTTTACTGTTTGTCTCTCCCTCTGGTGAAGGATACATCATAGAGGAACTTAAACAAAACAGAAAACTTCTGAACACTATTCCAGCTATTTCCTTTTGTTATTAACATTCAAAGACAAGCTAAAGACTTAATTTAAAGGAAGAACAAATAGTCTGTAGGAAATAAACTCTGTTTGCTGGAAGTTAGTTCTTCAGCAAATTACTTAGGAGGGAACTGAAGAACTCCACTAAATGTTACCTCTTTATACCTGAAAGAAAGGAATTCCTGGCAAATTCTCCCAATAAAAACTAATCCCTGCCAGTAAGAAAGAGAACAGGTAAACACAAAATTAAAGAACTTTACTTCTCCAACCAGTCTCCAAGCCTGATTAGTTAGTTTAAGCTAAGTTAGTTCACCATTTAGTTAGTGAAGAGATTTATTTTCATACATACAGGAATGCATTGCAGAATAAGCATTTATTGTCATATGTTACACCGTCAGACCCGCAGTGTGGGACGTACTCCATCGTACAGATATTGCTGGGTACCCTGTAGTTACTGCAGTAGTCCTGTAGATAGATGCAATCTATGTTCACAATAAAGCTCTCAACAACAGCTATGTAAGAAAGGTGATATTAGGAGAACCCCCCACACCCCGAGCTCCCCCCAGGACTGGCCAGAAGCAGATGCTGAGAAAAAGCCCAGGGACAGGGCAGGAGTGCAGTGGTACATTGCTTCCAGCAACGCAGAGCCTGTGTAACCGTCGTAAACGCTGCTGCAATAACTTTGAAAATAACTTGGACACAAACTGAATACTGCACTACTTGTTGAAACTATCATCAGATGAAAATGGCAATTTCACCCAATAATATCTGTGGCAAATGTTGTTCAGACAGCTGGATGACTCAGGGTTTTCAAACGCTCGATCACAATGTGATTAGTAAGGATTTATACAGAAACTGCTTTAAGGAAAGGAATGATGGCAAATAGAAAGATCTGTCCCTTACCTCCTGTGCATCAGTATCTGGAAAAAAATAAAAAAGAAGGAAATATGAACCAAAAGCAATTCATGGGTTCTGTTAGAGTTAAAAATCTGTGACTGCGTGCCCCGAATACGCAACTTTCAATTCACTGTTTGTTAGCAAATTACTTCGTAGATAAAAGGAATTTCAGGCAAAATTTTGTGCCATATCGTATGTTTACAACATTGACTCTGCAGCATAATTTTTTTAATGAGGGTTACAGCCAAGATGGAAAAGGGTGTACAAAATGAAAGAGGAGGAAGGCATTTTCCATGGTTCAAAGGATGGAACAGGACGTACCCAAAGCTAAGCAAGTTATTGAGGCAAACAGGGTCATAAAGCTAGCAAGCACACAGAGGCAGCGTCTTATATGCATTGCCACAATAGTTCTTAAATAAGAGGAGTATTTAGTGAGATGTAACTTCTATAAAGCTTCTACAACTGTTCAGCTCTCAAATTGCATCTCAGTTCAGGATGACTACAAGAAATGTTCACTTTCATTCAGTAAAATAATTTGTGTTTCTGCAACATTTCAGAGGTTAAATACTGGATGTCTGAGTCTCCGGGTTGTACCACGTACATGTCACTTCTTTCATTATGCATAAACTAGCGCTGAGAGTAGAGCTGTTCCCACAGTTGTTCTTACCCACTCAGTTCTGTTGCTAAAATATTACCCCATAAGTGATAGTCTTTGATGTCAAGTCTTTTCAACACTATCTTTCTAGGAGTAAATAAGTCCTTGTAGAATGAAGATCTTTCCAGTCTGAGGATGTTTTTTGTGGTTTTAGAGACAACCAGCGCTTACTCAAAGGCAGAGCAGGAGGCAGTGAAGCTACTCACCTGGGATGCAGCAAAGGGCTAGAGCAAAGAGCAGCAGCACGCCTGCCGTCTTCATGGTGGCTGAAGCGTCTGCGTGCAGCAGAGCGTGTGTTTCGCTCAGTAGATGTAGCCTTGATTCTGCCCTCAGGCGGTAACCGTGCTTATATGTACGTGTGCGTGTGTGTGTGTGTGTGTGTGTTTGTGCGCATTCATAGTTGACTTATTAACGCTTGTTCTGAAGTAACATTCCCAGTCTCTGTCAGGGTGGCAATCTCGACAGAGATAAGCCAGGGTGCTGGTTTTGGCTGGGGCAGAGTTATTCTTCACTGTAGCTAGTCTGGAACTATGTTTTGGATTTGTGCTGAGAACAGTGTTGATAATGTAGGGATGTTTTCGTTACTGCTGAGCAGTGCTGACACAGAGTCAAGGCCTTTTCTGCCTCTCACCCCACCCCACCAGCGAGCAGGCTGGGGGGCACAAGGAGCTGGGAGGGGACACAGCTGGGACAGCTGACCCCAACCGCCCCAAAGGGATATCCCACACCATACGACATCGTGCTCAGCATATAAAGCTGGGGGAAGAAGGAGGAAGGGGGGGGCATTCGGAGTGATGGCGTTTGTCTTCCCAAGTAACTGTTAGGCGTGATGGAGCCCTGCTTTCCTGGAGGTGGCTGAACACCTGCCCGCCCATGGGAAGCAGTGAATGAATTCCTCGGTTTGCCTTGCTTGCATGCATGGTTTTTGCTTCACTTATTAAACTGTCTTTATCTCAACCCATGAGTTTTCTCACTTTTACCCTTCCAATTCTCTCCCCTATCCTGCCGGTGGGGGGGAGTGGAGAGCAAACAGCTGGGTGGTGCTTAGTTGCCAGCTGGGGTTAAACCACAACTGTTGAAGAATGCTGCTTCATCAACAGGGCTCACAAGAAGATTAAATATGTTAGATGCACCCTCTGTGTCATTATTTCAAGTGAAATACATGACAGGTTCGTTCTGAAGGACCATGGAAAATTCCTGCAGGTAAAAGAGCAACTGTGCAAACCAAAGCAGCAACTGCTGCCTGATTTTCTGTGTGCACCTATCAGCGCATATTGACGTGCAGTGCTTTTTCACAAGCAAAACGTTGAATGAACCACTACCAGAGCGGAAAGTCTCTACTATTATTTTCACGTTCATCCCAGTAGAGCATCATTAAGTTATAGTGAAACCAGGAAAGCAGTGAACTGGGAAGGCAAGCAAGAGGGTGTCCCAGACACTGAAGGGAGTCCTTGGACCGGACAAGAGATAGAGCAACTTTTATGGGCATATGCAAAGAATTTACAATTGTTATTTCCCCCAAAAGCCGTTAGCATTGTGGGTTAGATTTGCAGTAATGGACTGATAGTCTGACGATGACAGAATGATGTGAGACCCTAGCCTGGATCCTAGAAAAGTTGAACCTAATCTGGAAATCACCACTTCATCCATCTGCCCATCTTAACATAAATCCTTTGTTTTACCACCAAAGCATCACTTTTTTGAATGGCCTCATTCCATCAAGGAAAACAAGCATCCCCCTCTCTTTGGCTCCCAGAAGAAATGCATGTAGGAGATATTACTTTTTAGAAGGCATATGCCCAATTTATTTGTGTTTCTCTTGTGTGGATCAAGAAACCACCAATTCAATACTCCAACAAAGGACAAAAGCAAAATAAATTTCATGGACAATACGCCAATGACAGGTCGCACTCTCAGAAAACAGGATACTTTGTCCTTGGGTTGTGAAACACTGCTGAAATATTCCTTGGGCTGGCAAAGAGTATTATGTTATTAAAGACTAAGAGAGAAGAGAAGTAGGCAGGAGTAGGAACCATCCCTAGGAGGGCATTTATCTTAAAATGCTTGGAGGTTGTTAAAGGATGATTTGAAGATGAGAAAAACCTAGAACTAAGTCACTTGGAGGACCTAGAGAAATATGGGCTTTGCTAACAGGCTGCCCTTGCAGAGTGCTACGCTGCAGGCGAGGACTGTGCTCAGGAGGCCATGGATCAGCTCTTGCTGCAGACACCACCACAGTCTGAACGGGTTTGCTGACGATGCTTGCACAGGGAAAGTGCACCAGAAATGCCTTGGGAGAGATCAGCTAGCATCATCGCTTCAGAGCAGTGTTTCAGCCCTTTACAGTGTCAAATGTCTGAAAGGGTCTGAACACTACTGTAGTCTCACTATCATTTATGTGCAGTCACACAGCTCTGAGGTTTATGCATCTGTATTTAATTTTCTGCCTTTTATGAGAGGGAGGGGAGCAAGACGTTGTTCTTATTATATCCCAGAGCTATGAGCACATAACCTATTCAGCCTGGCATCATCATTCAACAAATCAAAAGAAAATGTTTCATGAGACAACACATGAAACAAGACAAAGAAATGTTGCTGATTTAGTTTATTGAGAAAGAAAATCAGGAGTGAGCTGAGTTCTCCAGAGGGCGAGATGAACTGAGGTGAGATCTTTGGCTGGGTTTTGCCAGTGGGGATCCTGTGGTGAATTCTCTCAGCACTGATACTCAGCATTTTCCAAAATGGCTTAAAGTGAGAGTCCCATTGCTGTCCCTGAAAGTGAGGAGAGGAAAAAATGGATTAGACACAGAGTCCTGCCTGCTATAATCTGTCCTTTTCCTTGGCTCCTAGAGAAGGCATCAGGCAGGATCCTGCCCCAGAGCCAAAGAACAGGCAGGCTCAGAGACCCCTTAGCTATTCAGAGATGGGTGAAAAGATTTAACCCATTCTTAAGAATGAAAATATTTTTGGGAACGATAACAAAACTCCAAATTTAATTTTCTTTGCAACATGCAAGAAAAACTCCATTAAGTTTAATGATCTTCAAACCATTCACACTAACAAACCAGACATAGCTCTTTGTATGCTCTAATGAAAAAAAATGAATGGTTGGCATGGTGGCTGGTATTCTCTCCTGCCCCAAATCCCTGATCAACACTGGTCAGCAAACAAGAAAGTGGCAACTGTGCAAACTTGCAGCTGTAGGAGGCAACAGATAACACAAATGCGATCCGTGTTTGTACATACACGACTGCATTGCAGAAGTCACACTTATTGCTGTATGTTTTGCTGTCAGAGCCACAGAGAGGCAGGTACTCAAGCGTGCAGACAGGTTTAGGGTAGTCACTGCAGTCAACCTGCAAAGAAAAAAAAGTGTAATGTTGAAAATATGAAGGAGTCAGAAGCAGAAGGTCTTGAACCCCTAGCTACAGCTGCAGTGCTGATGATAATGATCTAACTAAAAGTAATTAAATTCCTTGCACATTCTGATCTAAACTGAGGTGTCAGTTTTCTCCCATGCCAGAAGAATTTCATAATATAAAAATAGATCATAATTTCCTGTTTGAAGAGATGTATATCATAACCTGACCACAGCATTTCTAAGCAGCAGCAGTTCACTCGGTGAATGTGCCGTGCTCATGATCACATTGCACCATGTTCCCAACTTGGCCAGGAAATTAAATGGAAAAACACTGGTGTCTGGAGAAGCGTAGGTGCTGATGCCTGTATAAGGGTCCAGTATCTCTCCCGTAGTCTTAAAACAAGAAGATCAGCACTTAGCTAGACACCGGGAGGGTGGGATTTTGTTTCTTTGTGCAATGGGTGCTACACTTGCTGAGAGGTATCGTAGTGCAAAAAATGCCTGTGGGTCCGGGAAGAGGCTGAGGAATTTCATGGAGGAGGAGTCCATCGAGGCTTACTGACTGCACAGAAATCGCACCTAGCTGAGGTCCATCACCTGAAAACAGCTGGAGGCTGGAAGAGTAGAAGTCCCATACATACTCACTCTACTCTTACTCTCTCCTGCACAATCCTTACGACCCCTGCTAAGAGCAGGCTCTGCATCAAGCCATCATAGGCTTGATGGACCATTGGTCTGACCCCAAAATCCATTCTCTCTTCTTATTCTCAGTTCTGCCCTGATGGATTATTTCTGTTACTACTCTTTTACTGATCCCTTCTTATGCAGTCACCCTCTTCCTTTTCTGATGTATGGATACATCAGATACATGGATACATGTATTACATATGGAGAAAGCAAAATCTTCCCTGTGCTGAAGCACAGCAGCAGTTACCCTCCTGTAGGATGCTGCTGGTCTGGGGGCTGCTGCAGACACTGGCAGTGCTTCCCCTGACATCAGTTGGGCTGAAATCCCATCCCTCATCACACAGTTCACTTACTGTAGCAATTTCCTTCTTACATGCACCGTCATACTTCTTGCCAACACTGGTTCCAGGCTCTCTGGGAAGGGAAGACACCCGCGTTAGGGAGCTCTGTGAGCAACCTGCTCTGCTGCACCCCACGTCCCAGCAATGCTGATCAGCCTCAGGTACAACATACGGGATACAGGAGACGTCCAGCTTAGGCTGTGTCGACATGGGTCTAGATACCAGCTCAGGTGGTGCCACAGCCTGCTGGAGTGCTGTTTTATAGCATGATGCGAAGGACAAGGGAGGGTCCAAGATGTTATGGTGAACTAGGAGCTAGGTTGTGTGACAATGTAGATGCACCTTAGGTTAGTTGCTGTCCTCTGCAAGGCAGCATCTGCCACATAGACCCTTTTAACTTAGTTAAGAGAAGCATTGTGTCCTGTGTTAGATCCCCACCCAGCCCTCTACTTCTGTCTCTAGATCAGAGGCATAGTTTTCCTCCTAATCACAAAGGAAAACAGGGTCTAGTTACCAGGGAAAG